CAATTTACCCGGATTTATGATTTCCTCTTAAATTTAGAATCGTGATAGAGATCATTTTGTTAAATATTAGATCCTTTTAAAAATTTATTTTTTTACTTAAAAATAATATAAATTAAATTATATATCTCTGTCATAATTTATCATCCTCTACTATATTTATATAAAATTATCAAGACAACATTTACTAATTTGACATACCACCTCAGGTTTCATTTTTTGAATTGAAAATAAAATAAATTATTTGTATATATTTCCTAATATCTGTTATAGACAGGGTTGGCATGTCGGTCAAATTCGGTCAATTGACCGGAGGAGTATTTGACTGGTCAAATACGGTCAAATACTCTAAAATATTAATGGCGAATAAATATTTTGATATAATTAACTAGTATGCATTAAAAGCATGTTTATCAATCTTATTATTTTTTTATTAAAATATAAATATGTAATTTTTCTAAATATAGTAATATTTTTAGTTATTTTTTTGCCTAATCATTGCCGTTTCTCGCCTTCTTTATTTTTTTCAATTCATTTTTCTTAAAAAAAATAAAAATACCCGATTTATTATAATCATAATATAATTTTTTCATTCCTATTTTTTAATAAATTTAAATTTTATTTAATATTTAGCCGAGTATAAATTATATTAATTCTCATTTGTTTTACTTACACTTGCTATATTTGGTTTTTAAAATTAATTTTCATTTTAATTGTTCTGGTCAGATTTACGGAATATTATTCAATTCTGGTAAAAAGTTTATTATATTATATTTATAATATTAAGAAATTATTGGAATAATTGGTCGATAATTATAAAATAGTTAAGATTGATTAACTTTACAATAATCAAAATCATTTTTTGTTAAATTTTAATATATTAGGGATTATGGTCAAACGTTTGGAAACATTTTCAAGAAGTACGCGATGGTAAATCAGTTAAAGCGGTGTGCAAGTTTTGCAAGATGTCCTATATCACCCACGTTGATAGAATGGTCAAACATTTATTAAGCAGCTGTACTATGTGCCCTGTTATAATTAAGGAAAATTTTATTCAAATTCCAAAATATCAACCTCTACAAAAAATATCACAAATGTAATTTGTAATACTTCTAAGTCTAACTCTAATGAAGAATTGGGTGAAATTAGTGAGAATGATTATCAAATGAACAATATTTTGTGTCTTGTGACTCAGGAGAATTTGATTCCCTTATTTCTAATCAATCTACAAGCAAGGCGATTAAATATAAATCTCAATCTTGTATAACCGGTTTCATAGATAGAATTAATCCCAAAGAAAAAAATGAGCTGGATCAATTGTTTGCAAAGGCTGTATATGCGAGCAATTTACCTTTCCACATCACTGAAAATCCCTACATCCAAGAATTTTTTTAAAAAATACGTCCTATTTACACATTACCCAGGAGAAGGCAGCTGGCTGGATATCTTCTAGACAAAGCGTCAGGTGATATGGAGGTGAGAGTTGCAGATATAATAGATAAAGCTCCTTACTTATCAATTGTATCAGATGGCTGGAGCAACATTAGAAACGAGAGTATTATTAATTTTATGGTGATGACGCCTGTTCCAGTGTTCTACAAATTTCTAAATACTGAGGAAAATCGCCATACGGCAGATTATATTGCCCAGGAATTTAAAAATGTAATTCATGAATTGAATCCGGTAAAAGTATATTCTTTAGTTACTGATAATGCCGCTAACATGAAAGCAGCCTGGAGAATTCTAAAATCTGAATCTATTTATAATCATATACAATGTTATGGTTGTGCAGCGCATACATTGCAGTTATTCTGTCACGATTTTGAACGATTGGACGCCTTCAGTGACCATATTTCAATAATTAAAAAAATTGTTAAATTTTCAAGAATAAACACATACCAGCTGCAGTATTTTCCCGTATTAAGAATCTTCATGGCATACCATCTACATTAAGTACAATTAGCCAAACAAGATGGGCATCGTCAATAAAATGTATGGTGCAAATTCAAATATGCAAGAAAGCTCTAAAAGCATCAGTTGTTGAAGAAGCTGTTTGTGATAATTGTCCCATAGAAATTACCAATAATATATTAAACGAAGAATTTTGGACGAAAAATTTAAAATTTTTAGCTATACTCCAACCTTTAGCTACCTCATTGTTGAAAGTGCAAGGGGATAAATGTACTTTGGCCCAAGTAAAAAACGAGATGCTTAATTTGGTAAAACACATAATACAATCATGCCATGATTCTATATTTTCTCCATCTCAAGAAAAAAAAATTAAGGTTATGTTTGAAAAGAGAAAAACTGATATAAATACATGTGCTCACAATGCTGCTTATTTATTGGACCCCCAATATCAAGGGGAGCATCTTACTAATACTGAATTTGATGAAGCATGTAATATAATACAAGAATTGGGTATTTTACAAGGTGGTGATAATCAAAATATTTTGAGTAATATAGTAAATTTCAGAAGCAAAAGCGGTATATTTAATAGCCATAATATGTGGAAAGTTGTAACTTCCATAAGAAACAATCAAATTTCGGCCTCAAGTTGGTGGAATGCATTTTGCCCACCTTGCCCATTAAGAGAAGTCGCTAATATTTTACTAACATTTCCTAGTTCGACTTCTTCTTCTGAAAGAAATTGGTCGGTTTGGGGCAATATTCACACGAAAAACAGAAATAGATTAAAGGCTTCTACAGCAGGAAAATTAGTAAGAGTGTATCATAATTTAAGATTGATTAAAAATATTAAAGAAAATAATGATATTGAATATGAATCGGAACAAGACTCTGCCACGGAGGGTGAAACATTGACTATAGAATGAATTAAAAAATATTATGATATTTATTATTATACATAGATTTATTATAATATTATATAAATGCAAAATAAAGTTAATATTGGTGTAAAAAACATTTATTTGAATTTGGCCGGTCAAATATCGGTCAATTGACCGAATTGTATTTGACCGGTCAAATGCACAACCCTGGTTATAGACCTTGAAGAAAATGCACATCAGTTGAGGGGCGACAGATGGAAAATAATAATGTTAATTATCATTTCCTTAAATATACGTCATTTTGTTGTAGCAGCAATAATTTGAGCTTAATTTGCCTCATATCAATCCTGTTCAGGGTTGTGCATTTGACCGGTCAAATACAATTCGGTCAATTGACCGATATTTGGCCGGTCAAATATGGTCAAATTCAAATAATATACTTATTTCAAAAATTCCAGCAACAGTGTAAATGCCCATGATTAGAAAATTGGGAATTCTTATCAGATCTCGCCTTGATTTAGGATTTTCTAATTAAATTTTTTTTTAAGGCTTCAGACAAAAACAATCAGTTCACCTAGAGCTGAAAAATCACTAAATCGAACGATTCCTTTTTAAAATCGTATAGTATTATCAATAATAATTAATTACTCCCTTAATTCACAATATGCAAAATAGGTTAATGAACACTAGCAATAATTCTAGTAATGAAAAATATTATATCGTTATGGGGACAAATTTAATGGCGTGATTTGAAAGAATTTAAAAATTGTATTAACAAAATTTCGTGTGGTACTACTGAATTTGAGAGTAGCATTCACCTTATGAATTCATGACGGATTTGGGTGCAAGACTTATAAAACATATTTCTAGTTTAAGGATGATAAACATTAATAGGCCTCCTCAAAATCCAGAAATTAGAAAAAAAAACCCTGAGATTGTAAAAGTTGCCAATGCATAGTCAGCGGAATTCTTCTCAATATATTAAAAAGCGGCTGACATGTCATAGGTCTAAAATTCTTAAGAGTTACATTCAGCTGGTGTTGTTAAATGGCTTGATTTAGCCATTATTTAAACAAGAGTACAATATTATTGATTTTGCCCACAGATGGCAGAAAGTTTTGAATTTCTATTAACGGAATTGTGAGGTTTAGGTAATAATATTTTGGTGAAAATCTTGATTCAGCCTTTTTAAAAATCGACTAAATGGAGCTGTTTAACAATATTACATTCACCCATAAACATTGCAAATTAAATGAGATTATTAACTTTTGGAGAATAAAAAAATTAAACACTTAATCATTCGTGAAAGTTAGTTGGTTTTTAAAAAAATATTGATATTTTTATGACATAGATCCAAAGATAGATGATGGTAAATAAAAATCAATATAAATATCGGATAGGCTTTAGGTAATATCGAATCAGTGAAATTATGGACCGTCACGCCTTAGAATTATGAAATACAATGTAAAAAATTATCTTTTTCTTTGCAATAATTCAATTTTTATATAACTTTCTAAATGACCATTTTATATAAATAAAAATTTTTCGCCTCTATTTTTGCCCATTTTAGCGTGCCCTCACCGCTAATTTTAGGACTGCAACACTGGGTCCCTGCCATATATCGCGTCAATGCCAATTTTCAGTTTCAGACCTACTCTGGAATAAAACAAAAAATATGTAAAGGTATAATTTTTTGGATTTTAATCTGAACTAAATAGAATAAATTTTTATTATAATTTTATTTTATAACAAAAAAAACAACTATTTTTTACATCAATTAATGATAACAAGTTTATTCATCATATTAAAGTTATTCTATTTTGTTAGGAATTGGTCTAAAAATAATAAATTAATTTTATAATACGAAAAAATCTTATAAGGGGGAAAAAAGTTGTTTTTACTTAATTTTAATAATTAGACATAAAAAATTAAAAATATTATTTATATAAAATATTATTCAATAACTCAAATTTGAACTTTCCTTCAAAAATTTATATTGGAAATACTCAGCCCCTATCAAAACTTTAACAAAATGTGACGAGGAGGCTAAAACCAAAATAGTGAGATTTAGCCCCTGAGCTATACAGGCCAGACGATGATAAATACTGGAGTACCCTAAAATATATTTTATACCTAATTGTTGAATATATGCACTTGGAAATAAAAATGACAATAATTTCTTATGTTTTTGTTTATAAATTGAATTGGGTAGTATAAGTTGCGTTCAAATTTATTTTTACATTCAATTAAGAAATAGAGAGTAGATTTAAACACTAAAATTATCAATGAGATATAATTTATATAAAATTAGGAAGTCAACATTTTAAAAAAATGTAAAAAACCAAAATATGTCTTAAATATTCGTATTTTAATCCATCCAATCATATATATTAATTCAATATCATAAATTTCTTGAATTTTCAGAGTGAGGTGAGATGAAAGAATATATTAATATAAATTCAATATCATAATTTGTAGTAAAAAAATTTTTTTAAAAAAGAATGTGTAATTGAAATTGTTATAAATAATTTTACCAAAAAATATGAAATGTGCAAAAAATTACCTTATAAAAATCGAGTCCTATTAATGATTTAATAAATAATATATATATTTTTTTAATATTGGAAGATCAGTTAGTAAATTAGTCGTTCTAGCAATATATTTGCATATCTTAATAAATAGACTATATCTAGCCTAATAAAATTAAAAATCATTTGTCATCAATATTCGGATGTAGGGACGGCTGTATAACCACTTTTGCTTCCTTGAGAATAATTAGATGGATTCGATATATTAGTAATCCCTGGGATCTTAAAAATACTATCCCGATTTTTGTCGTTGATTAACCCTGTGTTTTCCGAAATATCTTGACCATTATCAACTATTAAAGAATTTAATGGGTCCAAGTCTGAGTTAGATCCGCTCTGTATGATAGGTCTTTTTATAGCCCATACAATGAGACCCCAAGAGCATAAGAGAATACACATGAGAAGAAAAATAGGGAAAACAATGAAGCAGGTGGCCCAATTGTTTCCTATATATTTTTTTATTTATAAGGTGAAAAAAGACAAATAAAATAGAAAATGATCAATAAAAAGTAAAATAGGAAATTAACTTAAACTTATAAAGCAAATTATTTCAAAATATTGATAATTTCTGTTATTATATAAGTTTAAGTACTTGTATGTTATATTGTCGAAAGTTTAAGGACTCGCATTCACTTATTGGGTTATAAAAATTATTATCTTTTCCTTATTTATGCGGAAGTGCAAATGTAAAAGGTGAGGTGAAAATAAAAATTTAGTATTATGATTTATAAAAGACATTTTATAAAAATATGATGAAATAGGGAGTAAAATATTCGTATCGGTTTAGATTTTTTTATATAAATTTATGAAGGCTATCTAATTTTTGGGCATCCAATGATACTGGGTGAAAATGCAAAATACTAACTACCGATATTGTCCGATACCTATACTAGCTGAGGGGAGAAAGTCATTTTTAAAATAATTTACCGAGAAAAACGGACAATAATTTTTGCACTGCAAAATTTTTAAAAAAACTGAAACATAAGATAAGTGTAATCAACATAATCTTCAAGGCTCTAAAAAGGGTAAAAATCATTTGCACCCTAAATTGAATTTAAACGTGTCCAACGACAAAAGGCAGGATGGATTACTCTTAATCCATTGGGAAAAAGACTTACCTTTAGCTTGGTACTATCTACATGCTAGGTCAATCATAAAAATTCCGTATCATCCACAGAAGTTACAAGAAACAAATATTGTTTTAAATAACGGCTTTCCTGTTCATTTCACCATCAGGTAACTTCAGTCATTATAGCCCATTTTTTAAAAAATATTGAAATAATTCTCGGCTATTTTATAGATACTTTTTTATCTCCTTTAATATGGGGGACTGAAGAGGGGGGGGGGGGGGGGTAGTTCGAAAAATGCAAATTGAATCGACTTTCATTCTTATTTTATTGGTATATTATTTTGATTTTTCATCATTTTAGATATGGTGTATGACAAATCAACAAAAAAAAGAGTTTGTAAATATTATAATTAAGAATAAAATAAAATTTTAGCCCCCCAGCTCCAAACAGCTGAGATATGGGGTTCTAAATGTCTAAAAAATGGACTATTAAAAAATTTTTCGTTAGTTATAATATATACATATGATTAATTTTTAAAAAAATAAAGGTTTATAAGCTACTAAAAATAAATCGAAAAATTTGTGATAGTCATTTTAATAAGTATGGAGAGGTAATACTATATAACCCCACCGGTGTAAGAAAGGGTTAGAAATTGATAATAAAATTAAAATGCAAGTAACCACATTATGTATTTAGTAAAATATGTATAGAAAAAATAATTTTACTTGTCGAGTGGCAATATGATAGAATGAACATTTGTTGGCATTCTTTTTCAATATCAGTTGGAAATCTTTTACTTACATAGGAAACAAAGGTTTCAAACGGACAATATTCATCAAGACAACCTATTTTTAATTATTTCCGAAATTTTTTCAAAATATATATATAGGGAGAACTATTTGCAAAATATATAGTATCAAACAATAAGTTTTTTAAAACGAAGAATTTAATAAAATTTAATATTGTCAAAACTATTTGGATGAATATAATGTTTATAGAAAATCAATTTTTAGATATTAAACTAACCGGGTAATTTGAGTAAGACCATATTATCATCAGTCTCCCCATACGATGGTTTCATTATTTCAATTTGATTTTCATTTCTGGCTTCTCTTTCAGATGAATTCGTTAAATTTTCAAAGTATTTTAAAGGTGAATTCTTGTAGAATATCTTGATATTATAATAAATAAATTTATTTTAATACTATTTAAGAAGCAAAATATAAAGTTGAGAAAATATTTTCAATTTAACTTCAAGAACCTCTTCATCAAGTCCTAGCACCATTTTTTAAATGGTAAAATAGAGACTAAAAAAATTTCCCGTGGGTGTTCATTATGTAAATAAAAAGTAGAATTATATTAGTTGGTGAAACTAATTCCCTAAAATATTATAATTTATATTCGATCTCGCCTACCTTAGAAAAAATGATCCTCACATCACGCTATACATTATATAAAATATAATGTTACTTATATGTTTATATAAATACAATATTAATATTATGAAAAATATATGGTTCACATATTTATTATCATCCCTACTATTCCCATATCCTCCATAATCTATTACCCTAAAAACTTGGAAATTTTTTTAAAAAAATTTAAATGTCAGACCATGAAAAATTTTTTTACTCGTAAAAAAACATAAAAAAGTTTGAAAATTATAGGTAAAATTTGACCAAAAGCTTTGTTCGAGCATTCTCAAAAAATTTTCCAAAGATAAAAATATCTTAAGATTTTAAAGATATTAAAACATATATTAATAACTACACCTACTTTGACAAAATAATTCTTCTTATTATCCTTGACATTTTCATAACTGCCATCGATTGTATTAAATAGATCTCTTTCCTTCCTATGCGATGAAAGATATTCGTTTGAGCGATTTTTAGAATAAAATTCAAAAAAAATAGCAGCGGAATAATAAGGACTTTTTATAACGGAATTGAGAGTGAACGCGTTGAGTATAGAAAGTAAGGCGGTTAAGGTTGTATCATGCTTTTTTTAATAATGGAGAAAAAAATATATAATAAATCAATATAAATGAATGCTAAGAATAAGAGGTATTTCCGCATGTAAAATACCATCATAAATAATATAAGGAAAGTTAATTTGTAAAAGGAACCAACATGTTCTGGTTTTTAGATTTTAATTTCATTTTCAATTATTTATAATTTTCTATAAACAAAAAAAAAGGTTTAAGTATATTATATGAAAGAAATTTATAACCTTTTAATATAAATTGAATGGAACTTTTTATTAAAGTTATATTTTAAAAAACTCGAATCAAATTGTGACGAATGGTAATTTATTTTAATAAGAAAAAATAATTCGATTAGAATCAAACGTTTATTCTATAAAATATATCTAATAATTCGATTCGAATAAAGCGAATATTTTGGCGAACGAATCATTTATTTAAATAATTTCAGTAAATCATTCGATTGGTTGGGCCGTGTGGAGAATACTCACCTATTAGATTTTATATTTCGAAAAATTTTTAACTAATTATTTTGTAAAAGACACATATAATTTTTCCCATTGTTTTATTATCTATAATTACGAGTGTTTCATATATTATTTATTGAATGAATTTAAATATTTAGCCATTATTTTTATCCTATATAAAATTTTATTTTTATATTTCGTTTCGGGTTGAATATAGAACCGTTAAGTATAAAACAATTCCGGTTCGTGTTTAAACTTTTTTAAACGTAGCGACATTTGGGTTATTTTTTTAGCAAATTTATATCGATTCTTCCTATATTTATAAGGTTTTTAATTGATAATCATTAGTGTTTTTAACCTAACTTGTTACTTGAATGTTAATTTATATAATATACATTTATTATCGCTTACATATGAAGACTTTCTGTTACTTAAAATTAGTTTATAATATTCGAGATCTGCAAATCCGTTCCTATTTTCAAAAATAGTGTCGGGTTCGGGCCGGTGTAACGTTTTAGACTGACATGTCAAAATTTAATATTATTTTTTAAGTGAAATTGACATTTATGAATGACCTGTGTAGAACCCATTAATTAAAGAGTTTATTTAAATAAGATTTTTCAATTATAATGAAGAGTGTTATAAGATCAATTTTTTTTATTTTTCGAAATTAATATTTATAATTTTAAAATGTTTTTGGCAAACTAATTTAATTTATGTAAATAAAATTAATCAATTTAAGATAAAGTGTATGAAAACATAATTAATTGCTGGCCTACAAAGTAATTGTGTATTACTATTAAAAATATTGCTTTTATATACTTCAGATCTTGATATCATTATAACAACGATGAACAAAATATTATCAATAATTTATACTGCAATTTTTTTCTAAATAATAAATTTCAGTATTGCAATAAAAATGATTGCCTAAATACACTATTTTGGGATATGGGCTTGGGCCTAAAGTTTTTTTCATTCAAATTTTGCTTATTTATCTTTGCTAACTTAAAAAAAATATTGTTTACTAAATAATAAATTTCAGTATTACAAACAAAATGATTGCATAACATTGAAGTATTGTTTATTTTGATTGAATACAATAAATTAAATTTTTGGATGTGGACCTGGTTATTCATTTCAATAATTGATTTTGATACAAAAATTACCATTCTTTTCCCCAATAACGAAAGATGATAAATGAAGTTTATAAATTTTGTTTAGTTTAGTTCTATTCATTTTAATAAAGTTGTTAAATCATCGAGATGAAAAGATCGACGATCTTGGATTCGATCCTAAATTTAGAAATTTTTCCGGATTTATGATCCTATCTAAAATTGAGGATCGTGATCGAAATCATTTTGTTTAATATTAGATCTCGATTATTTAAAAAATTTTTTTTTTTTAAAAAGCAATAAATTTTAAATTAAGTCAAAATATTATTTTTTTAAAGAATATCTATTTACATCATATTTTATATTCATAAATTTTATCGAGACAGCCTCCAAGTTTTATTTATTTTATATATAATATAAATTAATTCTAAGTTTTAATATCCATTATAGATTTAGAAGATAATATACCTACTATTGATGTGACAGATATAAGTGAGAATGTTTTACCCAAAAGCTACGTAAATATTTTGATTTATATGAAACGGATGGAAGTAACTAAGCCATGATAACTGGGACATGCTCTTTATGAAAGAAGAACATATCGTCTTTAAATGTTATTAGTTCATACCTCAAAAGGCATTTAGAAGTAATTCATTTAAATTATTATATTTGTTAATCTTAATGTCAACATATTTATTAATAATACTATATTTTTTTTTATAAAGAGAAAGCATAGTGAATTCAAAAATGACATTGCCAAACACATAAATATTCTCTGCAAAACCAAAGTGGTTGCAAATCCAAACAAACAAGATTAAATTTTTATAATCTCAACATGCCAGCAATATCACAAAAAACAGTTGCCAAAGTTATAATGGACATTATTAGAGACACTTCCAACCACTATCACTGGTTGATGATCCTTCATATGAGAAAATAATTAAAACATTTTCTCTAACTATAAAAATTATCTGTCATCAAACTCTAGGCAACAAAATATCTATTACCTTTACAGATATGACCACAAATCTTATAAGAGATTTGTCTGAAATCTCATATGTATGCACCACTAGAGGTCTGCAAAGTATTTTTTTCGTGCCCGAGCCCGAATTTAAGAACTTTTGGTCCGAGTCTGACCCGAGCACACATTTTTTAGTCCAACCCGACCCGACCCGAGCCCGAATAAAATTTTACAATTTGAGTTTGAATATTATAATAACCAAAAAAAAAATTATGTGTATTTAATATTTATTCATAGCCACCTTAAATAAAAGTTTATTGACGGCAATAATCTAATCAAGATATATATTAAATAGCATTTTATTCAATTTGTATAAAATATTATAAAAAAGTTAAAATATTATCGAATCTAAAAATTATAAATAATTTAACCATATTTTCATATATTTGTTATCAGCATATCGACCCTTTTTCATATATGCGCCTAATTTTGGAAATAATTTATTGCGTATATCATCAGCAGTATCTATCAAATTTCTAGAAATTGTCGTTGGGATACTTTTAACATCAAATTTCCATTTATTGAGCCAATATTGGCAACAATCAACAAAGCCTTCCCCATGAATTGCATCAAATGATCTCAAATCACGTCTACAAAACATGGACTTTTTTTTTTAATTTGGCACAACTTTTGAGTTTTTTGGGATCAGTACCAAAAAGGCTATCGAATATGGAAATATGAGGCTATTAATTAAATAGATATTAGTAATATATTTTATTTAACTTGATAGAATATGATGAAAGTAAAGTATATAATAATATCGTTAACTATGCAATGCAATGTACTAAAATATTCATATAAAATAGTTTGGAATATAGTTGTTATGTAAATTATAAAATAATAATTGAAAATGAGATGCTATTCTGATTGATATTTTAATAATAAAATGTAATAAATAAAATATGATATGGTTTTATAATTGAAATTATGAATTATAATTTAGGATATTTATATAAATATTTTTTTGGGGTCGGGTTGGGTTTCGGGTCGGACAGCTCTTACAACCCGACCCGAGACTCGGGTCAGGCTACGGACAGCCCGTGCAATTCTCTATGCACCACTGCTGAATGCTGGAGTAGTCATCGAAGGTATATTATATTTATATTAATTTTATGTTTTATTTCAAGGCTTTTATCGGAGTTACTGCCCATTAGCTGGACCCATTAACCTTTAAGAGAAGATCAGTAGCTTTTGCACTGAGGCACATAATTAGAAAATGTATGATGTTTTGACTAAGAAAATTATGGGTATTCATAAGACTTATAAAATTAATAATGGAGAGGAGGTGACAGATGGCCCTGCAGGCCAAAGAAATTTATACGTTTTTCTAGAGTTTTTTGGAGAAAATAAAGAAGATAGTAATCCGACTATTAGCCTACCAATTAATCAATGTTGTTGATATCATAATCTGAACCTTATTGCAACCATAGATGCAAAGAAGGCGGAAAATGATCAATTTTAATCGAATATCAAGATCAACATTTGCTAAATGTTTGGCTTTAATAAACAAAATATTTCCCCTAAAATGGCTGATATATTGGAGAAATGAAGATATCTAATAGCTCCCAACAAGACCCGATGGTACTCCTATTTCCAGTCAATGAAATTAATGGACAAGGAAAAAATTTCAGAAGTAGAAGAAGTATGTGATCAAATTGGATTCACAATGTAGGAATGTTTCTTTATCAAAAAATATGCATCAATAATATATGGATATTTTTATTTAAACAACTAAAATTTAAATAATCCCCTCTCCAAAGCCAAAAAATGCAGATGTCGGATATATATTTCAAAAATATTATTGTTTATATTATCTTATATTTTATAATATTTATTCCCATCTCTTTCTTTTTAAATATATATTTAATTAATCACATTCATTTATTTAGTTATTTTATCAATTAATTTCGATTTCAAGTTTTCTGTAATATTTATCTATTATTTTCAAATTTCTAGTCAAATAATAATTATTATGGACATAAGAAATTTTTTTAACGATGATGATGAAAATCCTAGTCATCTTACAAAAAAGCAAATAAGAACAAATAATAATATAACAATAATTTGCCTAGAAGACATATACTTCTTAAAAAGGTACTAAAGATATCTTGATAAATATTTAATTTAATAATAGATTTATATTCCACCCCTCAATTTTCATAATCCACAAACTTTATGAGCTAATCAAAAGTTAAAATTTCAAAACAGTTATTTTACTAGATGGTTATGGCTAGCTTACTCTATCCGAGACATTGGATTGCAAAATATGTCCTGTTTGGCCTAAGATATAGTGGAAGAAATTTAGTTAAGCTTAACAGTCTTGTTAAGACTCCATTCAACAAGTACAAAGATTCTGGAGAAATCTTTGACAATCATCAAAAAACAAATTATCACAAAAGCTATGAACTTATGAT